GAAGTGGCTCTTATGCTAACCCAAAGATACAAAATGGAAGAAAGAATTAAAACTGAACACAATCTTCCTGCTATAAAAAATTTTTTTTTCAATTGGCTCCTTTTCCATTTTGCAATTATTTGTACTTTCACTTTCAATACTTAAGTATGTTTAATATTAAAAAATAAGTTTCATACTTAAGTACAATAAATATCACATACTTTAAAACTTTTGCTCAAATTATATTCTAAACGATGACTTCAACTTCTACCAAAGAAATTTTCTGGTAAGAAATCTGTACTTTTACTTCAGTACTTCATCCACTACTGGTGATAACTTACAAGGAATCACAGTTTTATTGACTGAAATACAGACTCTGACATTCCTGACACAGTCATCATCACGTAATCCTCCCTTTATGGGAATAGCTCAGCCAGAAATGAAGATTATGTCATCATTTACTCATCCTCAGGTCCTTCCACTCCCATTAGATTTTCTGTGGAATGCAAAACAAGAAGCTGGAAAAGGACAAATGAATACATTAATAATGCTATTAATTAAGCATTAAAAAAATTACATTTATTAATTTATGATTCACAGGGGATAAAATAAAAGCACACAGGTTTGGAATGGAATGAGGGTGAGTATATATATTTTCTTCCAAAAGGGTAACAAACTCAATAAGTGTAATTCATTTGCTCTGCAATCAAAACTCTTTTGGAAGAATTGCAAATTACGAATGGGAAGAAGGAATTCAATGAATTCGATTTCTCTTTTTTGATGAGTAAATACTGACATCATTTTGGATTTTTGGTGAACTATTCCATTAAAGGTTTATTGGTAGTCTTGAAATAATGTGAATAGAATACAGTTATTGTAAAGCCATAAACTGCTGTTATTTGTTTACTTTATCACATCCTCATCACTGAAATAAAGCAGATCAAAGCAGTACTGTGAAATATAGTACCCAAACACAGTCAACGTCTATATTTACCAAACCCTAATAAAAGTAATGACATGTTTGATTATTAAAATAGTTACTAAGATACATAGTACCTAAAAGCAATAAATATCTAAATAAATAGCCTTAAAAGTCCTACACATCTATTCCAAGAGAATGATTTGGTCATGATATCATGACTCAGTGGCATTATGGGGAACAGATGCAGAGATTATGACCACACCAGTAGTTCACACTGTATTGAAGCCTGTGCATACAGCATTAATCTGTCAGAGAGCACTACAGTCATCTCAGCATCCAGCCAGAGACTCGGGATTAGTTTAAGAACATCACAGCTGTCAGAATATCTGCTGTCATATCTCTGCCTAATATTTGGGGGAAATCAAAACAATCATGAATGTTCAGCTTTTGCACATCAGTACACTGTAAAAAATAAGTGTAATTTTAACTGTAAAATGTTGTA